CAGCATCTTGTGACACTTTGTCCAGTTTGCTGTAAAAATCTGCATGGCATTTCACCAGGTCATCAGGTGTTATATCTTGAGCCTGAAATAAATAATACAAATGTATGTTTTGCTACAATAAAAGATTTAATTTTATATTAAAAATTATACTACTAGTTAGATCTAGTAGCTAGGGCTAGCCCCTTGCCTTGCTTAAAGTTATTGCTAGACTAGACAAACGAGGACATACAACCTAGATGATAAATCGAAGTTTAGATATAATATTGACTAGAATTGTTAAAACTTTCGTCTAGCTAGTAAAAATAGTAGGCCTAGATCTAGATACTAGATCTAGAATATGTAGTAGACAAGTAGAGTAGATAATCTAGACTAGAATTAGATCTAGAATCTCTCCCTACTTTTGGAATGTTAAGCTAGAGCTGACAGTAGCCTAGACCTACTGGTATTCATACATTTACATTCAAAACTTCACTCACCAATTAAAAGAACAAGCTAGATATCTAAATTCTAGTAATACTAGATCTATGTATCCGTGTTTAAAAAAAAAAGTAAACTCAGGCCTGCCTAGTGTTAAATAATAAATAAGTTACAGTTTTATCTACAACTTACCTTGCAGAATCCTTTAATATGATTACACGAAATGGACGGGATCTTTCCTTCTCCTGAATGACGAAAGATCTTTTCTTTTTCTCTTTCTGTGCATGACCTCTTCTTTTTTCTGGACTTAAATGTCAGTACAACACTTTCGTGGTGACCATCAAAGTCCGCCATTTTTACAATTGTTTCACTTAGAGATGCTTAATGCGCATGCGCAGATAAATAGTAATATTTACCCGGATTGGTCCGAATCGATACCGCATTTTGACGCTAAATAAAATCGACAATGCCGCGTTTTGAAACCAAACGTTTTTTTCAAAAATAGAAATAAAATGAAAATTTTGCGCCGTGAAGATTAAAATTAAGTTTTCCTAATAGTAACTGAGTAGCTTTACAATATGGGCACCTTATCTCATTTTTTTCAAAAATGGCGCTTATCGCGTTTTGAAAATCAACTCTTCATATATATATATATATATAAACATATGTGTAACCCATTTAATAAACACATATATTAGTTATTCTGTCCTGCTACCATCCATTGTTAAACTACGCTATATATAAAGCCGAAACGAAAAAATAGATTGTTAAACTAATCACTGTAATTATGATGTTTTGTTGTGTGATACAATGTTTTCTTAACTAGAATATTTTTATGAAGTTAACAAAACTTTTTAAAAGTTTTAAAAAATAATCATAAAAACAGAAGTATTTTCGGCTAAAATTAATCAAATTTTTATTGCACTCCTAATTGGAAATTTTTTAAAAAATCCTAATTTAAAAAAAAAGAACAATCGAATTCATAAAAACAAAAGTATTTTCGGCTAAAACTAATTAAGTTTTTATTGCCCTCCTAATTGGAAATTAAAAACAAATATTCCAAATTTATAAAAAAAGAACTCTACAAGAAACTCGAATTCTACATTTTAGAAGCCTCTTTATTTCACAATAAGACCAATTTTCAAACATTTGTCATTCTTATATGTTGTCGATAAATAAATTCAATGTTGTTCTGAAAGAAATAATCGTATTATGTGAAAATAAAAAGAAACGTTTCGATATTTTTATACATTTCATTAATTTGTATTTTATAAAAGAAGTTTTTAAAATACAATTTCAAAAATATATAAACGGTTTAAACATATTTAAAAACAACCAGACAAAAAGTATTTGCCGGTGAACCAAACCATCGAGCATAGTCTTTGTTCAGTATACACGTCTGTAAAGGGCGATAACCGTCTCTTTCTTCCATAATGACAGGGTTGTGGTTATTCCTGTGTACTTCTCTCCCATTAGCACAAATAAAGCGACGAACAAAGTCTACATTCTGTAGCCTGTCTTCAACGTCTGGGCCGTTATCGTTTTCAAAACCTTTACGACATTCCGTCACGACTTCTACCCATTCCCTTTCATCCTCTAGAACCAGCCCATTCCCCATTGTCCATTTCCGTTTTCTTCAGCTTGAATATGACAACAGCTTGAAGCTCTGGCTTATGGGTGCAGCTCCACTCAACCGATTTACACAAGTTGTTGATCACATAAAAACCTTTGGCGTGAGAAAAATCTAAATTATGTTTTCCTTTCACTAACTTTATTCCCCGCTCTAAAATGTGTACAGCAATTAGCAATGAAGTACCGTGAAAAAGATTTTTTTTTTGGTTTCAATCCCTTGTATTATTTTAATACTTTTTTCTATCGTCTAATTTGCTTGTGGTAATTGTTTGGTAAACAAACGCAATATCTTAAAAGCTAATGTGTTTACCAACGGGTAATGTTTGTTTAGGAATAAAATGATGTACCAGCACACAGGTAACTTGATCGACATGTGCAGTCAAGGAGTGGGGGAAAGTTCACGTCAAGTCAAATATTTTGTGGTAATGTTGTTTAAAGGTTAGGTCTCTGGGTTCTACATTAACTTCTGTTTGGTTAGTATTTTAAAACTGTCAGATATAACTTGTAATCTAGTTTCCCATGAACCACACAAATATAAATATACTTATAATATTTTAATAGTTTCATGGCTTAGTGTGTTTTTTAAATCAATTTACACAAAAATGTGCATCCGACTAAATATTATTCACACAGTCGGCACTGACCACGTCCATACCAAATTACGTTTGTCTTACAAAACAGATACTACAATGACAGTAAAGGCTTATATATACACATATATATATATATATATATATATATATATATATATATATATATATATATATATATATATATATATATGTAATTTATGTAACTTATGTAAATATCATTTAATTATTTAATAATTAAATTATTTAATTATTTAATAATTTAATGTTCTGCTAATATATATATGTATATATATATATATATATATATATATATATATATATATATATGTATATATATATATATATATATATATATATATATATATATATATATATATATATATATATATATATATACATATATATATTAGCAGAACATTAAATTATTAAATAATTTAATAATTTAATTATTAAATAATTAAATGATATTTACATAAGTTACATAAATTACATTTTTCTCTCACAGTCTCTCTTTTCTTTCATTATTTTACTATTAAAAATGAACTGAAGTCGACTGGTAAATAACTTTAGTAAGACAACCCATTTAGATTTGCACGTACAACACATTGAATCACGTCGACACACAAGGAAATTACAAAAAAAAAAGTGTCGTGAAGAATTTATTTTGACTGAACCATCTCATTGCACATTTGATTTCAGGCTAGTCATGGGTTAATTTGGTAAATTATATCAGCCTAGAAATGATAAACAATAAAAACAGGTAATTTACATTATCATTTTTGTCAAATGCAACTCGGTAAAAAGAAAATCATTTTATTGTAAGCTGAACTCATGTATCATTCATGTTTATTTTTATTCTGGTGCTAACATTGACATCATCATGTTTAAAAAAAACCTAAGAAATGCATTGCAAAGGCTGTCGCCAATACCCTTTTTAAAAATGTCCAATTATATGTAATTTTATTTTCGATCTAAAGTAAATTAATTTATATTATTTTAGACTTCTTTATACTGAAAAAATATCCACTACAAATATGTTTAGTTTTCTCAGATGTTTTCATAGTTACACTTTCACTTTTTACAATCAAATTTTGATTTATCTATTTGCCTTTTCGTAATAAATACAATATACAGTTTGCTCGATTTAAATACAAACACACGTTACCTCTTCATTACTTTACATCTCAGAAATGTCATAGAATAAAATATAATTTAAGATGATTGCAACATAAGACATCCTTTGTAGTTTAAATATATTTAAAACAAATAAGCAAGAGAAAATAAATCTGCTCTTGGTTATTGTCACAGACTGTATAATTATGTATCTTTATTATATCTTTATTATATCCCACTTCTGACACCATATGTAACAACATGTATTCTTTGTTGTTGTGGGTTAGCTTTCATACAGGAACACGAGCAACAGTGGCAACTTCAAATGACAACTTTATTTACACTATGTACAGATAAATCCGTGGTACATCCATATTTGAAGATCAACTGATATAGGTACGAATAATAATCACGACTCCAAGTCATGGAGACATCTTACATTCACTGCCATCGTTCCAGTCCCAAGTCCTAGCACACAACACCCGTTCACCTTTTGCTCTCCCTTTTATACGGTCGATTCTCTCCCCTTACGTACATGAGCGATCTCACCCAAAAACATGAAAAAACACATGACGATCGCTCAGACAGTCCTTCCGCTAGCCAGGTACTCTTCATTCATGCAAAACACAATATAATAAAGATACATAATTATACAGTCTGTGACAGTTATTACAAGAATGATAGGGCTATAAGCAATACCTTGACATCAACCGTGAACGTCGACACACCATGAACGTGTTAATTATGCTACTTAAATTGATTTACTACATAACATACCTACATTTTTGTTTTTAGTATTTTCAACAACTTAACACAGTTTTTTTTAAATACATAAACACCGACAAATATATTAAAGTTTTCTGTATATGTGGCTTTTATATAGTTATATAATTCAAAAAATGTTACCTAACGCTATTTCCAGGCTTTAAAAGATTCTCTTTTATAGCCGCTTAATGGCAAAATAAAAAAAAAACATGCTTTTTTCCATGTTAAAAAAAAAATGATCGAATCCAACTTGTCAAACTCTATTAGCTCTTAGAACTGACAAAATACATTCCCAGTCTATATAAGCTTGATTGTGATCTTGAGAAAATTTTAATTTTTCTATTAAAGTACCGAAAGTCGCATTTGTCGTGGACCGCTGCTTCTATCTCATCAACAAATGGATTATTGTCATTTGGACGTCACGGCCGTTTGATTGAAACACCTGGCATACCTCAGCATACGATAGATCCAGGTTGTACATTACACATTCCCAGTGATCACTGAGAGCTGTTGAAAGGCGACTAATCTCAGTTTCCGAAATAACCCTTTTTTTATTTCTTCTGGCAAGTCATCTATCGTAGAAACTACAAGAAAAACAAAAAATAATAAATAATAAAATTAAATAATAGTTTCGGATGAGAAAAGTGTAAAATATATAACTAATGGACGTTATAAACAAACAAACAATCAATAACAAGGTTAATTTTGAAAATGTTGATATAGATTCAGAAAAAAAAATGATATATAATAATAATAATAAAAACCACGGCTATATTTACCCTAAGCTTTAGACGACTTAAACTACAAATAGATTTCTGCCTCGGGCTTTTAATTAACAAAGTAGGCCTACCCAAACAAATTGCATTGATTAATAAAATGTACTGGCCCGCAAAATAGAACGTAAAAAACTATATGCACGCATCTCCTGCAGCTTAGAATGGTTAGCAAGAATTCCAACATTGCATCGAATCGAAAATCACAAACAATTACATCTTATTTTTTACGGTCGATTTTTATATTTTTTGATATATCACAGATTTTACTATCCAGATAATTTTCAACATATTTTTGCGATTTGTTATAGGTCAATTTTAGCTATATAAGGGCGGTACGAAATGCGCATGGATATACTAATACAACTTAAGTTGAAAATACATTTCTTAAACTTGCTCTAATATATCAAATAGTATTTATTTTAAAGAAATTTCCGCTATTGAAATTAGTTGGAACTCTCTCTTTCTCTCCTTTTCTCGTTCTCTCTCTCCATCTCTCTCTCTCTCTCTCTCTCTCTCCCTCTCTCTCTCTCTCTCTCTCTCTCTATATATATATATATATATATATATATATACATATATATATATATATACATACATATATATATGTATGTATATATAGGTTTACATTTTATAGTGTGTATAACAAGGGTTACGTTGATCCAAATCAGATATATATGCACAAAATCAAGGCCTATTAATACCAATGAGATTTTAAATTATTTCGGTATTACTTTAATATTACCAGAATATTGAAGTTAGATAAAATGATACCTACCTTCCTGGATATTATAAATATCTTCATCAGTTATGCTACAACATTCGCTACAGTGATCGTCGTCTCTGTATTTTTGTAGCAATCTGAAGACTTCCTTATTACCATTGGATAGTGCTATCTTTAAAGCACATTTGCCGTGAGCGTTTTTCTGATGAGAATCACCTGTTCTTATTGCGGCCATTACTCGTTCTTTTTCTTCATCGTTTAATGCATAGATCAAGGGACTGAACCTTCTTTCGTCTGCATCGTAAGTTGAAATTATATAGTCAAGTAACACTCGAACAATGTCACTAAATCCTTTAGAAACTGCTAAAGCTACCGGGTTTAACCCCTCTTTATCTCCTAAGTTAAGATCTGCTCCATGCTGAAGTAGCAATTGTACAATTTCAATATGCCTGTTTTCAACTGCACACATTAAAGGATGTTTAGAACCCACATATACACCATTAACTGGAGCTTTATACTGAAGTAGTAGTTCCACCATTTTAATATGGCCTTGTGATGCTGCAAGACACAATTCAGTAAGATTATAGTCTTTTAATGTCGAAAATATTGATTTATTTTCCAGTAATAATTTTGCCGATTTGATATCTCCAGTAGAAACAGCATGAAATAAAGCGTTACGATTTTCCCGGTCTTTGGCGTTTACATCGGCTCCATTGTTTATTAGCACTTTTAAAATTCCTACATGTCCTTTTGCCGCGCCATGCATTATAGCAGTCATTTTGTCTTTATCCACATCTTTAACATTAGCACTGTTTTCAAGGAGCAGAATGAAATTGTCTTATGTCCATTAGATGAAGCATGCATCAGAGGGGTACGGCTGTAATAATCTTTAGAGTTTACATCTTTCTTAACATCAATCAATAACTGAATTGTTTCAATGTGCCCTTTACTTGCTGCAAGTGATATTAAGTCCATCCCTTCTGCATTTTTATCATTTTGATTAGGATATTTTGTTATTAAGGTTTCAACTATTTCTGTATATCCATTAGAAACAGCTTGTGTGAAAGCGTTCAAGATGTTGACATCACCATTAGTTATATGCAAACTCTAACAACGTATTTACTGTTTCTAAATGTTTATTGGATACAGCGTGATCCAGAGCGATCCACCCTATATTGTCTTTTACTTTAGCATCTGCGTTGTTGTCAAGCAATAGTTTTACAGTTGTAGAATATCCTCTTGAAGCGGCAAGCATTAAAGCGTTCCCTCCATCTTTATGTTTTTTGTTGATGTCCACATTATTGTCTAGCCAGAGTTGGACGGTCGTATTATGGCCATTATTAGCAGCGTGTGATAGACAGGTCCATCCATTGATATCTTCAATGTGAATGTTTGCTTGACGCTCTATTAAGAGCTTTACAGTATCATTGTGACTTTTTGACGATGCATGCATTACATGGGTCATGTTATTGTTATCTGTACTGTTGACATCAGCGTTATATTGAAGTAATTCACTCGCAATTTCACAACATCCGTTCAATGCAGCATGCATTAAAACGTCCATTCCTGCTTTGTCTTTATATTGAACATCAGCTTTCCTTGCGAGCAGTAGCTTAACTGTTTCTATGTGTCCATTAGACGCTGCATGCATTAAACAACTAAGGCCATTGTTGTCTATGCAGTTAACATCAGCTTCGCTAGTCAATAAAACTTCTAAAGTCTCAATGTGCCCATTTGATGCAGCGTACATGATAGCATTAAAACCACCATTGTCTTTACACGTAACGTCGATGTCTCTTTGGATTAGAAACTTAACTGTTTCGGTTTGTCCATTAGATACTGCCAGCATTAAGCTGTTGCGTCCACTTAATTCCCTGCTGTTTAAATCAGCGTTATTATCAAGTAACAGACTCAATATTTCATTGCGACCGTTAAAGGCAGCATGCAATAACGCGTTCCATCCATCAATATCTACGCAACTAACATCAACGTTATTTTCTAGTAATATTTTAACTATTTCTTTATGACCGGCTGAACAAGCACACATTAGCGAAGTTTGTTGATTAAAATCTGTGGTATTTAATAGAGCGTTATTTGAAATTAACATTAAGACTGTCTCTTTATGGCCGTTACGGACAGCGTGCATTAAAGCATCAGATCCAGAATTATCTAGTCTTTGAATATCAATATTATTTTTGATTAAAATCTCTGCCGTTTTAGTGTGTCCGTTACTTGCACTGATCATCAAAGCGTTCATTCCATGTTTGTCTTCGATGTGAATGTCACTTTTTTCTTGAATCAATTTCTCGATTATTTCCATATCTCCGACACCTGCTGCGTGGATTAATGTGTTCAACTCGTTAGATTCAGTGTTGTTAGTAACAGTATCATTTCGAAACAAAACGCTTATATTTTCTTCTCCAGAAGAACCACCAGTTAGGTGATTATCCTCTTCATTTTTTACGCAGCTTTGAGTTGTTTCAACAACGCAGAGTTCATTGTGCACTAAGCCTGCTTCAGTCGCCGTATCTATCATAGCACTTTGTACTGTCGTCATGGCTAATGGTATAATAAAAAATAAGCATACACTATATTACTATAAACATATCTCTTAAACATCGTGATAGCAGTAGTAACTAGAGAATAAGCAGAGGGATATGTTTAGTCAGACAAAAGCGACCAAAAGGAATCAAATAATCTTCCAGATTAATGGTCATAGATTACTTGCTCATTCAACGCTCTAGGTAATGTCTCCTTTTAGTGTAGTCCATTGCAGTCCAGATTAAGTTTTAAAAGTTGGTCAGAGAAAGAATTATTTTTTTAGAAAAAGATTTAATGTACATACTTTTGGAATTCTATATAGTAAGAGGTATCGGGTAATTTGTATTCTATTGCTTCCTGTTGTGAAGAAGTTAACTAAGTTTTATAATCATCAGATTTGCAGCATGCGGGATTTCAGAGCAAAGAAGGTTTCTTTTCGAGAGAGAATTAGAGATTTTAAAATTTATTAATTAATTTTAAATATACCAATACTACTCTTTTAAAAACATTGTTCGCTAACAAATTTAAAGTATTCATGAATTACCTATGCGTTTATTAAGTGTAAGCGTGTGTGTGTGTGTACTAAATATTGGAGTATGAATGAAGATTATATGTTAAAATGTAATTCTCATTCTTTACCGTTATCAATTCTTGTTCCTTCTGTCTGTTTTCCTGTGAATTTCGAAAGTGTATTATGACATTTAGAAAAAAATACAGAAAAATGTACCGTAACATTATGTTTACATTGGTCACTAACACGTTTCCGCACTTTATGTAAAACAAAATAATTCGCATGTTAAATTGGTACATGATACTTTGACGATAATTGGTTTGACTATTAATAGTAACGACTATTAGTTGTTTAATTATTATTTTAAATGTATCCAGGCATTATAGAGAAAGTTGCGTTTTTTATATTTTAACTTGACATATTTTATGTGTATATCCAATGATAACAGCCCTGCATTGTTCTACAGCAAAAAATAATCCTGTTAATAAGCGAGAAATTAAAAATTACAAAGTGACGATCAGTTTTAAGTTCAAACAGATGTAGTAACATATTTGAGCATTGTTGCGCATGTCATTTAAGTAAAAGGGGTCGGCGTGGTCAAGTCGGTAAAGCTCATGGTTGCTAAACCGAAAAGTCTCGAGTTCGAACCCTCGGGCAGATGAGGCTCGTTAGCTGGGGACAGCCACTCTTCTAGGAGAGACAACTCCAAAATTAAACAACTGCTGCCTTGTAGTTTGTTCTTGGTTGGACAAAGGCTATGGAAGCAAATCCAAAAAGAAAAGCAGGCTGAAATCGGAGTCAATGGCCTCAATGGCGCATAACCAGTTGACACGTACCGCTTAATTGTGTTGGAGGCGTGGTCGAGTCGGAAAAAAAGCTCATGGTTGATAATTTCGAACAAAGTCTCGAGTTCTAACCCACTGGCAGATAAATCTCGATCCCCTTCAACACAAATAATTAAGAACGAAGAAGAAAAGAAAAAGATTTAAGTAAAAATAAAACTTTTTTTCCTATAAAAATAATTTGCGTTATATTTTGATTGTATTATTAATAATACGTGCTATTTATGTAACAGTAATCTACAGTTTTTGTCTACTGTGATTAATTATAAATGTAGTAGGCAGAGAACAAGTCATTATTGGGACACAAGCAAGTAGTTGTTGCTTTATTTAAACGATCTCTATAGCTCACCATAAAAGGAAACTGCCATCTGCAGTTTGCATCATGATGATATAAACTAAGCACACGTTTTTAAATAACACCTTGAGAACAAAGCATTTAGGTTGAGTTCTTTTTGAATTCAAATAATGAAATGACTTTTTCAAAATTTTTAAAATTATCCATATATTTAAGTCTGATGTAATACATAAGGTGTTTAACATATTCTAATCTACGTATTTTTTCTGAAATTTTATGGAAAACAACTACTCTTACCCATTTCAAAACACTTTTTTATGTTAAATTCATATTTTAAAACTTAAAAACACACTTAGACAAACGCGATAATTGACGTTTTATTGTAAATCGACCATTCTGTAAGCCGTCGATCCTCTTAAAAGCATGGATAGATAATTGACTTTTAGACGTAAGGCATGATCGGGCTGTAAATATTGTTAGTGGTATGTTGTGCCGACTTCATTAGGAATGAAGTGATACAAAATAGTCAAAGATTCACGCATACAACACTTTTGTTATAATACGCTTTTAAAATCACAAAACAGCTTTATTCTATTTTCTAAAAGTATTGTAAACTTAAATAATCCTTAACACATTTTCGAGACCAACGCTTTTAGGATGAAACGTTTTATTTTGCAAGTGCATTACAAAGTTATTATAAATGTTGTTATATTTGCTTTATTTAATTTTCAGGCTAGAACAAGAAAGCAAAGAATTTTTTTTAGAAAATATTATAAATAATTCACTTTACATTTAACATAAATACTTAACAGACAAATAATTCTTCTGATTAATATCATAGAAATTCGCGGTTAAATAAGATACGTAATTCTATAAGTAGTAAAAATGTGTGTTACTACGATTGTTTTACATTAAAATATAAGATTTGGAAAGTTTCAAACTCAAAACATTGGTGTTGAACGTAAGAGAAATATTTAACTAAGTATTCTGAATGTGTCTCGTTATTTTAATTGAAATTACTTTTCATCCGTCTTTCACAAATATGTATGCATTCATTTTAAAAAAGGTAATGCTTTCTACAAAAAGCACACAGATGCAGTTTTTAAAATTCATAGTCGTTTACAAAATGAAACCGTTTAGGAATATATAGCAATGGAAAATTACTTTCATATTTAAAGTGTCAGGCCCGGTATATTTGTTGTAAAAGTAAAGTAACCCTTTAGTAAATAGTGATCCACGGGGCAGTTTATCTATATCTGTAACCTCGGCATCTAAATGTAGAGTGCCGTCCAAATCATAGGCATAGTGACCCTTCCCGGCGCCCGGGGACAAACTTTCGATTTGCACCCCTCCCCTCAAGATTTCGATTTGCACCCCCCTCAAACTTTCGATTTGCACCCCCCCCCCCTCAAGATTTCGATTTACACCCCCTCCCCTCAAACTTTAATTTTTATTTTTCCAACCCATTTTTGCGCCCCTTAAGGTCGGCGCCCGGGTACATATGTTGTCCCCCCGCCCCCCCCCCCCCACCCTCGCTACGCTACTGGTCCAAATTATGCCTTTACATCCCCCAACGTAAATCTGGTACCATTGAGAGCTGGGTGGATTAAAGGACGTCCGACCTGGATAGAAACTTGAGGCTTTCAAAGAGCAGTCGTGCGATTTACCGTCTGACCAAGCATTTCCAACATATTTAAACAAAGCTATAAGCTCGAAGTTAAAAACAGTTGTAATTTTAGCAGCACTGCTTATTATTGAATTAAATGTACAAACATTTTAAAAAATTATAATAATATTTAGCGTATTAGCCGACGGGTTGTGAAGTACATAAATTACATACATAGGCCTATATACAATTACAGCAAAATATATCACTTTTTTCTTGAAACCAAAACTGTACATTTTGACTGTTTTACGGTTTGTACACGAGCATTGAATACTTCTAAAATAAAATAAAAAAATACAAAAATAGAGATACACAATTATTTTTAGAAGTTGTATTTAGTCAAGTACAATTGTAACGGGTTTAAAATAATAACACATGACTAACACACATTGCGATATTATGCTAGGAATAAGAACTGTGCGACAGGCTTGACGGTCAAAACACAAAGTTACGTGATTACAAAGATAAAACGTCTGGACACTCAGTCTCTCTAAAATTTTCTTATTTAAACACGTTAATTCATCATTATTTTAATAAAATGAACTTTAAAATATATAGCAATAGCCAGCTAAAATGCACATCTTTACATGAGAAGTCATACATGCAAGTCATCTAACATAAATTATTCTAATCGTAATGAATGATATCTCTTTTTATATAGTAAACGTGTGAAATGTAATGATAACACCTTTCTTTATCTCATTATTTTGGAAAGTGATTAATAATATGGGAGTATTCGATAAAGAGTAACTAACTTACTTGTAATATTAAAGATATAACGCTGATTGGAAAAGTACTGAACTGCTATCAATAAATTATGTTGTCAGTGATTTTTTGCTAAGTAAAACAACTAACGCCTGCAATTTTAAAAAAAAATGCCGTTTAGTAAACAATAAATGTGCGTTATTAGTTTAAATGGAATATATTAGATCATTAAACGTAATAAAACAAAACGCTTAAGCCAATACATACGTTGAAAGGAAATGTTGTATGATGTAAAAAAACATGTTTAACGTTGGCTTTTTACCTACAGACTTCTTACAAATAGTTAAATACCATTAAAATATGCTATAACTATGCTAATAGAAAACTATCCGTCTGTAGTAACTCTTCAGCTGAAGGTCTCTCTTTAAAATCAACTGTAAAACATTTATCTAAAAACTCTCTGAGCTCTTTAGATGTGTGTTCTGGTAGCTTTAAAACAGGTTTCTTCTTTGTTCCAACTCTAAACAAAACACATTGGCTTTCAACGGAAGCTGAGGGTGATTTCATAGTTATCATTTCAACTACTGTACATCCAACGCTCCTGCAAAATATATGCGCATTTATTTCAAGACGTAAAACTCTTATAAAAAATTCAAATTAGTTTACGTATAATGTCAGTAAAACAGGACATTAATCGTTTCACCAAAAATTTCAGATAATATATTTGACTAGTTAATTTGTACTGAAAAATATCTTTCGATTTTATGTAATAAGTAAGTTTTAATATTTTTATAACTCGACATTAAATTATAAAAAGTTGCAAAAAATATTTAAAAGATACATGAATTGTATCATGACAAACATACGTTTATTTAATATTAGGAGTTGCATGCGAATCAGCTTTGCAACTACAGCATATAATATGTAACAGTAAAAATCCCGTTTCTTATAGGTTCTCGTATTGTTAAAATGGTATTTTAGCAATTCGTAATAATTCCCGTAAAATCATAAAATTTTTAAACATTATTTTTGTAATTGAAAATTATTTAAATAATTTATGCATATTTGCTGTGGTGTACGTGTTATTTTCGCTGAACTTATTTGATTTTTAGAACCGTTTTTTTTTTTTTTTTTTTTTTTGCAAATATGTTTTTATTAACTTAATAGGTATATCATTATTAAAAACTTTAGGGCGATTGAATTCGAACTTTTCTGTTATTTCTGAGATCTTTTTATCGTGTGTTCTAATACACATATTATGCTGGGCTTATTATTAAAAATATATATTTGTTCTAAGTAGCGCTGGAATTTGTTTTTTACATGGAAACATAACGAAATGTAATTGCAAACAGAATGATTGTGTAAATGGATTTTAAGAAACCATGACTTAAGCTATCTCATGGGTTATAATTTTAAATGTTGTCTCAAATGAATGACCCACTTAGATGTATTAAAAATGCATTTTATTTTTTATGTAAATTAATATGTGCATTGTTTTAAAAATACGATTTATCAAAATTACAGAATAATATACACACACACATATATATATATATATATATATATATATATATATATATATATATATATATATATATATATATAATCTGCAAGTGTTACTAAAGCAATTACCAGATGTCAGCTCTTGAAAAATATTCATTTTCCAATTCACTTGTAATAACTTCAGGTGCCATATATCGTGAGGTACCTCCTGAAATAGAAGACAGGTCTTGCCCCATCTTGATTATTTTAGAAAGCCCAAAGTCTGATAATTTGACTTTATCCTCGTCTTCCAATAAAATATTATTACCTAAAACAAATATAATAGATACATGTTTTTATAATTCTGCACATTTTGTTAATTTTATTTCTAAAACATAAAAAACGAATTTGAAATATAATAAAACAATAACTTGTTTTAATCGTACTAACATTGTAATATTTAACAAAATGTTTTACCTTTGATGTCTAAATGTAAAATATTTTTGCTATGCAGATATAGTAATCCTTCTAGAATTTGTTTTGTGAATAAGCAAGTTTTTAGTTCACTTAATCCATTTTTGTCCTTTATATACTTTGAGAGCGTTCCCTGTTTAAGTTTAATCAACAAAATTTACTACGCATTTAAAAACGTTTTTTTTCATAAATTAACGTCTAATTTTGATTAAGTATTCTAAAAATAAAATTAAAACTATTGAGTATCATGATAAAAAGCATACATTCACCACCTTTTGCATAAATTCCATGAAAATAAAAATTGACATATCCTTTATCTGATATCCGTGCATCTGAACTATGTTTTCGTGTTTCGCATTTAATAGAATATTTGTTTCTGCAAAAAGGAGGTCCTGAAGGAAAACAAATACATTGCATAAAAAGAATATGTTAAAAAACGTATATATATGTTAAATAATATGCAAAATGGTTTGGCCTTTCCATCTTTTTATTTCCCCTATCTCTCTCTCTCCCTTTTTTATCGCTCTCTATTCCTCTCTCTCTATATATATATATGTGTATGTGAGAGAAAGAAAGCGGGTATGTGAGTTTGTGTTTAAACTTACAATCGTATCTTGTTTTGCTTTAATCCAAATTTGCTTAGCAACAAATCGTTTTTCATCAGTTTTATCCAAATCTCCAACAAGGTAGACAGTCCCAAACGATCCCTTGTCGAGTTGATCTTTAATTTCAAAATTTCGAGGGAACTCTTCAGAGTATATATCTGGTGTGCCTAAAAAATGTTATGTATATATACAAGTTGTTTAATAACTGCTGAGATCAAAAGTACATACTATTTCAATTTTTCGAACGTGCATGTTATCATTAAAAAAGTTAATGATAAAAAAGAAATAAATTACCAATTTCTCCAGCATGTCAATACAAATACAACAATGGCATTGACCAAATAACGATTTACACACTGTCTTAAACAGTTTTTTTTAAAATATTTATTTCGGTAAGTTTTATTATTTTACGTTTTCAAGTTAATCGAACTCAATATTTCATGCTATTTAAATCGAATATAAAAACACCTTTTTTCATAAAATGTGAGCCAATTTACGATAACATTTCTGATACCAAAAAGTCTTTTGTTTGCAATAAGCGATACATACGAAAAACACTCCTTTGAAATTTATTTTGAATGAATATTACATATTTTGACCATTTGTTCAAAAAGTATTATACATATAAATTCATCTTTTTAATCACGTTCATTCCCAAGACACATGAGGCAGAGGAAGTAAAGTTTATTTAATGTATTGATTTAGGAATATGTAGGGATAGTATGGTCAGCACTATACCCGGCCGCCTTTGTTTCCCTAACCTAAGTTAGTTACCCATCAGAGCTAGATTAACTCAGGGATGTTCCACTTATTTGAACCCGGATTCGAACTCAAGACTCTCGGGTTAGTAGTCTAGCTTTCTACCGCGACGCCGCCCCCAAAGAAAGTCTGGCGAAATATTTCAGAGGTTTCATCAGTGCGTTACCAACCCTATATTCTTAGGCGTGTTACCTTGTTCTCTAACACAGAGTTATTTAAATGTAAACAATGCCTGCGCTACATTTCTTGGATCATATTTGTCAGGGCACAGGTTTTCCAAGACTATCGCCCAGCACACCGCAGGGCGTGCTATATGTAAGCCTTGAGTGTATGTTAGTTAATCACTTTCAGTAATAGTAAGGTGATCACCCATATGTCAAGAACATATCGGGGCGCTATCGGGAGCCCCTGTTACACTACGGCAGGTGCGACGCGTACGGCCTCTGGCTCGGTTTCATTAACGAATGGTGTGTGCTTCCGTGTCAATATTATAAAGTACTAGTTAAAACTAAATTAGGCGCTAATGTACTTAAATGAAAGCTTTTGTCAATCGCACCCTGCTGGGGCGCGAGCGGATGCACCTGTTTCAATTTCTTATCCATATTCTGTGGAATTCTTTAAATATTCCGGGGAGAAAAATAGCACCAAGCGAGACGCAGGAGGACGCACCTGTTTCTAATTAGTGAGAGTACGTACAAATTAGTCTTAAATGTATGTGTAATTGTCAAATACATGGTGTATAGTTTAATTGGGATATTTAAAACAATGTAAGCTAAATATAAGATTATTAACATTTTAATAACGTTTTGTTTAAAACGAACGTAGGCACCAAAGGGAGACGGGACAGCTCGGGGCGCCTAATCGCCGCTGCCGGAGAGCCGGAGTACGCGCCTGATTTGATATAGTTAACGAGTGTTTTTAGCCATCGTGTCTTTCGTGTATAGTCTTTTTTTAAAACGAACTTAGGCGCCATAGTGCTCATAGGGGAGCCAAACTAGTTGTCGAACCTTCCCTGGCGCCGACATCAGAAATTTTTATTTTCATTTTGCATACACCTTCTCCGGAGTATTCTCGACAACTCCCCAAAGTTTCCTGACACTCGAAAGAACGGTGTTAAACAGCATACTGTATAAAAAGTAAATGTGCAACCTCCCGGGGCGCTGCCCTTACAAAGTACATTTATTTTTCAGAATTATTTTCAACAACTTCCAAAAGTTTCATGGCGAACAGATGAAATGTGTAGTAATACATAAAAGACACATACATACACATACTTTGATATATATATATATATATATATATATATATATATATATATATATATATATAATATACTCACATATATAATACTTTTTGGTACATATATAGAGATAGTGTGAGTTAGGTTTGTAAGAAAGAGAGAGAGAGAGACATATATAGACATAGAGAGGGGAGAAGTCAAATATTAAAACAGGGCAAATTAATAATTTAATCTTTGATATTTTAAAGAAATACCTGGGATAGAAGCAGCATTTCCACTAGCTCGACAAGTGTTCCAGTTTATAACTCTGGCGTCACTACCAGTCTGTGTGTTACTTGATAGAAACAAGTTTACTCCTTTCAGTAGATCTTGGTCCTGCGCCATTGCCTGGCTTGCTTCCTCATTTGTGGAAATAACTTTTAAAAGGCTTATTACAAGCTCTTGCAGACATCGATTGTCTTCCCCCAAATATTTTGTAAAAGTCGAAAACAATTTGTTAAACTGAAAATAGTTGTTCAGCGAAAATACGATCCTTTATAAACAAAAACAGAAGCAATAAATTTAAAAGTATGTACTTTAAAATTCTTTGAATACATAAGAAAAACGATATTAATTACCTTTGCTCTTGAGGACTCATATCTTTCTCCAATCAATCGTAAAGCTCGGAGCCAATCATATACTAATGTATCATTTAACAAAGTAGCTACGGACATATCTATGAATCTTTGAATGTCGACATCTGGAAAGTTTGTCAAAAACAAGCCAGTTATACAAATTTATTTTAACGAAACTGATTCGTGATATATATATATATATATATATATATATATATATATATATATATATATATATATATATATATATATATATATAATTTTAATTATGTGTGTACTGGCTTGTGTGTTTATTAAGCAGTATATACCCAGTACTGTCCGGTTTCATGAATATATTACTTTTCAATTAAATGTTAATATGCAAATATGGCCGTTTGAGAAAATAACACATAACCCTAAACCTAGCTATACATCTAAATCTTATACGAACACAACAAACCAAAACACAAACACAAACTTGCCTGTAATACAATCAAGACGCAAACCCAAACCCAAAATACAAACGTAAACGCAAATACAAACGCATTAACAAAACAAACGCAAACAAAAACGCAAACACAAACACAAAGCCAAGCACTAAGGCAAACATAAACATAAACGCGAAAACAAACGCAATCGTAACGAAAACACAAAAGTAAAAACACACACACAAATACAAATACAAACACAAACACAAACACAAACAAAAACACAAATACAAACACAATCCCAAACACACACGCCAACGCAGACACAAACACAAACATTACGGTACGGTGCGGTACGGTACGGTGTGGTACGGTACGGTACACATTCCTAATATATAAAACCCAATGTGCGCTCTTCTCTCCCTCTCTTTCTGTCTATCTCTCACTTTGTCTGCATATTTGATCGAAGAAACACAACTTCAATTATGCAACCGGAAGAGCGTTGTGACAAGCCCAACCACTCGACCATATCGTCTCCCCCATACTGGCCACCAGTTGTTCCGGTTGTTTGTACACAAACACCGCGTGACCACTACTCAGTAAGCCAAAAGAGGGAGAGTACCGAACCTTGTTTTCATCAAATTACAATTACTGGGTTATGTCCCTTTTCCCTCCACGTTTTTGTTTGTACAAATGTATAGCGGCCTAAAATTATCAATAAAATGTTTCCATGGATCAATTTAGTAATAATAACAATTGAATATTCTATTGTCATCGGAAACAAAGCTTCCCTGAAAATTTCAGCGCGCTAGCTAACTGGGAAGTGCCCGAAATTTCGATCGCAAGATTTGATTGGAGAACCAAACAAACAAACAAACAAACAAACCAACAAACAAACAAACAAACAAACAGACGCGAAAGCAAGTTAAAGAAAACGTGGGAAAATCTACAGATCTACTCATCAAAACGTAAAAAATAACAAAATGTAAATTAGTTTGAAAACCAACAGAAATACTATTGAATGGCCGGTTTTTAACGGAATCATTTAAGTAACTCAATCACAGTTTGCATTTGATATGGAGTTGTGTTGAATAATAATGCATATATTTTGTTTCAATTTTTTTCAATTTGTATTGGTAGCCGATGGCTCGTATATTTAGAATAGTTTTTAAATGCAAAATGTATACCACTTAAACTAGGAAGTTCGTTAGCTTGATTGCTTATCGACGAGATGAGTATGATAATATCCTGCTTGATTTTTGAAGACGAAAAACGTTTTTTTAACATCTGTGAAGTAGAATTTGTTTAAATCAACACTACTAGAAGAGAAGACTATTAAAACAAATATTTTGAAAAAAAAAAAGAAACCAAATTATTTAATGTAAAATGGCCATAATTTATGAATTATTTTAGGCTTTATTTAAGCTGACGTAAGTCATAATGTTTAATATTGGTGAGACACAACACGTCTGAGGAGTATTAATTATTTGAAGTAAATAAATAAATAAAAAAAATTAAAAAAAAAGCCAGATATTTAATCTATATACAAGCCTATAGGAAATAACCTATAGATTAGGGCGATAGAAGTGTAGATGTAAATGTTACCTCTAGGATGCGGCTTTCAATAAAATATTGTTTATTCTCTTCGTAATGTGATATGTTAAGTAATATTTCAAAAATGATTTTCACGACATGCTCTGTCACCTTTGAAGATAAACAAATGAATTCGTAGTTTTTTCCTCAGAAGATTCATATTGTTACAGGAATGTTTTAGAATGACACCTATTATTTTTCTAAATTAATCAATGTTTACTTAGTAATAATAGTAAAAATTATTATTATACAACATTGAAAACAGAACATTAATACCTTAAAACGCACTTCACATTTTTTTTTATAACAAAACGCGTACCCCAGTCGCAGAATTTGCGCTTATGTTACTCCTTGTGTATTCCATTAACTGTTTTGTTAGCAGAATAATCAATCCATCCTCTGCAAAATTCTGTATTGTAAAACTATAATAAATAGCTGCTATGCATATACGATATACAAATATGACAGAAACAACAATTTTCCCCTAGATATCAGCTTATTATTTAAATTAATTACTTTATTTTAATAAGCATACATGGAAGTTACTTCTAGTGTTGGTAAGTTATTCATCAATTAAACAATTATATACATATTGCACTGTTGAGTAGTATACTATCAAATTCATAAAACTGTATTTTAGTTTGCACAAATGACATTGGTGTATCTGAAATAAATGTATATAACTCTCTCTCTCTCTCTCTCTCTATCTCTCTCTCTCTGTATATATATATATATATATATATATATATATATATATATATATATATATATATATATATATATATATATATATATAAATGTGTGTGTGTGTGTGTGAAAGTATGTTTTCTGTAATCCTCATGCATGAGAGCACCTCTCATCCGATCGACATTAAACGCCACGATGCAGTGGGTGGGGGGGGGGGGGGTGGTAAACCAAATATTACATTTCGGAAGAGCGGAGCATCTATACCCGGCATTAGGATAACCTGAAACCTCCCGGGCAACCCCGTAAGCACTATGGAGCTTACGTTTGATTAAAAATATGTAATATATCATTGATACCATGGGTTACAATAACTGTTCACGCACGTAAATAGGGTGCGATTTTGAGCCCTTGATTCCTTCGTGAGCACAATTGCAATTACGTTAATTTTAAAGCGTGCGATACACTCTAATTAAAATTGTCTACTATTATCAATACAAAGTATAATTTGTTAAAATAAAAAAAAAAATTGGCTTAAGCTTTTACCCTTCGACCAGACAGATCGCAACGAGACAAAGAATCAAGCAATTATATCTGACATTATATGTCGTTTGACATGAGATTGTTAATCAGGTGTTTGCTTTACTTTCCAGTTCATCTCACATCCTAGTTCAAAAGTAGGTGCCCTATTGGTCAGTTGACAACCGTAGGTTTCTAGCTCATTTTTTCAACTCGTGACAACCTTACTTAGAAGAACTGGCTGTACTGCTTGACTACACAATCCATGTTTGGTGAATTGGTACCTTGCGCTCTTCTGTCCGAACACGAATTTATTACTACACAACAAGCTCAAAAACCATACACTCTTTTAGAGATGGAATACTGTTTTCTTACCATTGCTACAACTTTATATAACTTTGTAAGAAGCCTAATCGCTTGTAAAGTATTATGAATAATAGGCAGTGAAGAATTTTCTTGAAAGATATCGAGTAGTTTGTGTTCTCGGATATGCTTTGTAGTCAACTCTGCAAGGAAGTGTAATTATAAGGAATTATATATATATATATATATATATATATATATATATATATATATATATATATATATATATATATATATATATATATGTATATATATATATGTATATAAATTACCCTAAAATGACTACTAATAATCACTAATAATCAATTTTTTATTTATTTATTTATTTATTTATTTATTTATTTATTTATTTATATCTATAATATAAGCGGCCAAGTAGTGTGTCAGTCCTTCCTTCTGTCATCGGTCTAGATTTTGGAACCATAAAAGTTGTGTTGTGGTTGTGTTGTGGTTGTGTTGTGGTTGTGTTGTGGTTGTGTTGTGGTTGTGTTGTGGTTGTGTTGTGGTTGTGTTGTAGTTGTGTTGTGTTGTGGTTGTGTTGTGGTTGTGTTGTGGTTGTGTTGTGGCTGTGTTTTGTTTATTTTTTTTTTGTTGTGTTTTAGTTTGTTTTGTTCTGTTCCCCAGTTGGTACAATTGAACAAAATTTACCGTGGCGCAGCACGGTTATGCAGCTAGTATATAATATAACGGTAGTGGTAGTGTGTCAGTCTTTCTTTACGTCATCGCTATAGAATTTGGAACTATAAAAGCAAACACATAACAGTTCGTGCTTTTTACTTGCATCGCGGTGTCTTATTTTTGTTTTTAGAGTAGGGTTTGTTTAAATAACGGCTTAAATTTATTTTATAGTCGCCACTGTTTTTACTTTTTAGAATAACGTAAAGAAAATATTAAATACACGCATATTGCTAAAACATACTAAAAGGATCAATGTCAAATATAATTTTTGTTAAGATTACTAGAAAAAGTGGATACATTTTAATAATAGGGTTTAAAAAACGAATTAATTAAACTGTTTGTATTTTTCCAAGGGAGGTAATTTAAAATAAATTCAACTCACGCTAATAAAAAATGTGAATGCAAAATCTACTGACCTCCATGAAGGAATTATTGTTGCAATAATATAATTAGCAAAATGTGAATTCAAAATTATTATGTTGTCTTTAGTGTTTCTGTGTTGCGATTGTGTTTTCGCTTGTGTTGCGTTTGTGCAGTATTTGTGTTGTGGTGTGTTTGTGTTAAGTTTGTGTTGTGTTTTTTTGTGTGTAGTGTTTGTATGTCTTTGTGTGGCATTCGGGAATTTGTCGCATTCGGGCAAGTGTCCATTCGGGCATTTGTCGCATTCGGGCAAGTGTCCATTCGGGCGTTTGTCGCATTCGGGCAAGTGTCCATTCGGGAAATCTGCCTTCGGGCAAACGGCATTCGGGCAAGTGTCTTTCTGGAATTTGTCGTAGTCCCCGCCACTCTACGTCGCTGACACATGGGCGGTCACCGAAGTGTGTTCTACCTCATTATTTTGGTGAGTGATTAACGTAAGGTTTTAATGCGGTAGTGTAGGTAGTGTAGGTAAACTCGTGTCCCTATATTTATGATCCAAGCGCAGGCATTGTTTACATTTAAATAACTCAGTTTTAGAAAACAAGGTCACTCGTCTTAGGACATAGGATTGGTAAGGCATTGATGAAACCCTTCTTATATATTTCATCAGACTTTCTTATATCCCTGCGGCAACGCGCGGGGACGGGTACGCTAGTATATTTACATAACGTGACTTTTATAAATTTAAGTTACATTTATTTTACAATATATTTATTGCTCGTATTGGTAATAGTTTTGCAAATGAACATGTAACAATAAACGCTAACTGAAATTTTGTCTCGAGAGAAATAACTTTCAATGCATAATAAGGAGAGACTCCGCGGCAGAATAATTTAAAGATTAATGAGTTAACTCAACACACACGCACATAGTTAAATGAACAAAATATGCAAAAAAAAATCAAAATAAATGTTATGCATTTATAAAACACCGTCTAGCAAATCTTTGAAAAAAAAACATTTAGAGATATGTTTACATGTATTAAATACCTGTATACGCTTTTGAGGTAGAATCATCAATATTAGCAGCAGATTCTGTGGTTAGAAATGTCGCAATCACATGTAAACATTTCTGATGAACATAGAACTGAAAAGGCTCAAACTTCACCATCGCGGCATATTCCTCCATGACAGCCAACATGTACTTTTGTATTTCTTCTGGTGATGGGGAGTTCGATTTCTATGTCAGAATAGATCAATAACTCCTCTTAGTATACAATAACAGTTGTAATAATGCTTACGAGCCGACCCGCGGCGTATCATACGCCGCTATTTAGTTGTTTTATTTTCTACTTTTCAGTAATTAATAATTTGTGAATTCGACAGTACCAATGCTGCCACTGAAAATATTTGCTTTAAATAGAAATTTGTAAACGTTTAGCGTGACCACAACTCACCAGACAATGTGGGGGTGGGGTGGGGGTGGTAGTGATAGCGATAGTGATAGAGAGAAAGAGAGGGGACTGCAAGGAGGCGCTTGCAGCTTGTTTTCTAACGGCTCCCAGAAGAGAATTATATATATATAGATTATTGAGGTAATTTATTATAAAAATATTATATATTTGCAAAATAATCACATTTTACTTACCAGCCACAATGATATACTTCATTATTTGCATACACTTAAATGAGAGTAGACTAAAATTCATACTGTAGGACCTACATATTTTAATTATTTGCATACGTAAAAGTACAAAATAAGCTTGGAGATATGAAGCATTTAGGCGCCGAGACGTTGTGATTTGTGGGTGCTGAACTAACAAAATAACATCAGAATAACAACAATCTTATGTTAATTGACAGCTACTTGCATTCGGTGATGTGTATTCTCGTAGCCTAATGCATCATACTGCCTACACTACTGACGGTAATTCTATTCTTTAAAGGTTGTTAACATTGTAAGAAAGATTATAAGTATTTTAGAGTTCTAACCGTGTCAATCTTTGCTTGTTTTAGACTGCGAAGGCAGATCAGTGACCTGAAATATATAATTTTTATAAATTATTTTACTGCATTTTACTGTTTTTTTATATATATTTTAAACACATAACACTTTAGGCTTACATAAGAATAACAAAGTTACATACCCTTTAATATTTTCATAGTTTAATAGTTTAGGATTGATTGTTGAAGCTGGGCATTGTGTTAGTTTTGCTACAAGTATGGATCATGAAACAATTATTAGTCAACAAAATATAGAAACGAGTAATTTATGAGATTCTTTATGCTATACATTCTTTAGTTGATAATATGTAGTTATATCTCACCTTCCAAATTAACTATACGGGCTCTTATCGTGTCAAAACTCTTTTCGTTTTCAATGGCAAAGTAAAGGAATAACCAAAAACAAAAGCTCCTCTTCTCGATAAGATTTAGATAAAAATTCGGCTCCAACACAAGAAAGTGCATGTTATCAGCTAAATAAAATATTGTGTTCAATAGGTTTTCATCAAATAGCAAGGCACATTTGAAAGATATGGTGTCAATCACTGTTAATACCTTGTTTTTTTCAACTTTCAAGGACAATATTTCAATACTTTTCGATTGGGGTGATACTGCAGCATTGTACATTGGTGTCTTGTTCAAAGGTAAAATATCTGCAGTTAATACGAGAAAACCCGATGGGTTTGCGCTGGATTTAGAATTTCTAGAACTTTTTTTCAGATATTCTTTATTTGAGTATGTTGTAACAACTCTCTGTAAAATTTTTTGGAAAATTATAAATCTGTCTTCCTTGACTGCCACGAATAATGGTATTGTATAAAATGAGTCACTACGGCGTTGACTTTTTTTTATTTCGTCGGAATTTAGTAACATCTCTACAATTTCTAAACACCCTACAAGTATAGCTAAAAATAAAGATGACATAATTTTTGCTCTATTTTGAATTAGATATTTGGCGATTCCTATATGACGTTTCATGATTGCTATTGACAAAGCAGTCTGGAAGTGTTTATTTATTTTGTCGACCTCTGCCCCATTTTGAACTAACAGCTTTACCACATCGAGATGGTTATGCGCTGTAGCAAGCAATAAAGCAGTGTAATCTTCAGTATTAGCTGTATTTAGTTCAGGCTCGTGTTTGAGTATTTCACGTACAACATCGACATGACCGTACTGTGAAGCGATCATCAGAGCAGTGTTTCCATAGTTGTCACATTTATTGACGGGGCAATTATGTTCCAGCAACATTTTCGTTATTTCATGTGACCCTTTTTCAGCAGCTAAATGCAAGGCCGTTCCTCCAGATTTTGATGAAACATTACAGTCAGCTGACATACTCAAAAGAAAAGCTACCGTGTCCACTCGACCATGACCGGAAGCGTGCATTACAGCCGTAGCTCCGTAACTGTCCTGAAAATCAATCATACTAGCTTTAAATTGTTTTGACTGACAAATTTTCTCAGCAATTTCTGTGTATCCGTCTATAGAAGCAAATGTCAAGGCGGTTAAGTATTCTTTGATTTCAAACAAATCAATCTTTGCGTCTTTTTCAAGTAACTGTGTAACAATGTTACTAAAACCCCGATTTGACGCTAACATGAGAGGACTTACGCCATTGTTAAGAACAGAGTTACAGTTAACATCTTTTCTTAACAAAAGCTCAACTATGTTGTCGTGCCCAAAGAAACATGCGAGAAGTAAAGCATTTACTCCATGTTTGGCTTTAGCTTCCAAATCACAATGTTTCTCTATCAGCATTTCAACAATCTCTGTCATGCCATTCTCAACAGCCATATGTAAAGCAGTTAAATCAATTTTATTTTTCAAATTTATATTGCTATGCGCGGTAATCAACAGCTTGGCAATTCCTAAATTTCCATAATAGCAAGCAAACATTAAACTAGTATTACCGTTCATGTCTTCTTTAACATTTATATCATATTTCTGTTCTATTAAAACTCTCACAACTTCTATGAAATCCAATTGTGTTGCTAATATTAACGCTGGAATTTTAATGGAAGTATCTTTATCAATTTTTGTGTCCATTTCTGCATTTCTTAGAAAATATTTCAATTCTTCAGTTTGTTGTAGAATCTCATCAATTTTCCAGGGCTCCGTTTGAACAGCATCGGCCACCAAATCTAATATTCGCCCAAAAGCCAGTTCTTGTAGCTTTAAATTTCTCAAATGGCTAAAAGATGGCATTGGAATACCTTCTTCATAATCAGCACCATGTTTAATTAATAGCTTAACAACTTCGGCGTGTCCAGTCTTAACTGCAAGCATAAAAGCATTTTCTCCTTTATCATTTGTTGTGTTGATACTAGCGCCTTTATTTATGAGTGCTTGTACAATGTCAGAGAATCCATTTTGTGCCGCATACATTAATGCGTTGTAACCGTTTTCATCTACAATAGTGTAATTAGCTTGGTTATCTAAGAGTGATTTCACAATGCGTACATTTCTATTTTCAGCAGCGATCATAAGACAGCTTTTATTGATGTCATTTATCAAGTTGCAGTCAGCTTTATGTTTAATTAACAGATCCACAACATCCCCGTGTCCACCTAAAGTAGCCAGCATTAATGCAGTGAGTCCGTTTTTACTTTTTACATTCACGTCCACCCCATATCCTAGCAGCACTTCAACTGTCTTAACAAATCCTCTAGCGGATGCTAGCATTAAAGCGCTGATACCGTTCGAAGTAAGGTGATTATAATTTGCATTTCGGCGTATCAACAAATCAACAACATAATAGTGATTGTTAAATGCAGCCATCATTATCGCACTGAGACCATTGCTTGTTAAGGCATTGCAGTCAGAGCCTTGATATAGAAGAAATTCAATCTGGTCAGCATGACCTCTGAAGGATGCCTTCATCAGGGCCGTTAACCCTTCATTGTGTGTTGTGTCAATGTCTTTTTTATTCTCCAATAGGAATGTAATCCTCTCAAGATCACTCACAAATGCCGAGTGAAATAAATCAGTCCAGTATGATTTTCTTCTAATCTCCGTAAAACTGTCAGGCTCAGTACCAAACATGGTTTGTAGTAACGACATGCTTATATTAATATGTATTTAAAAACGGTTGAATATTCACTCATAGCCACACATTCAAACAGCAGAATTCTGAAAAAAATGTGTTCAAATATTGTAGATGTATTTCAAAACGATAATATCTATGTATATGGTAAGATTAGTTCATCAAATAACTAAAGATGGTAGCTAGGTTTACCGTGAAACACACATATATTTTTTACATAGCATTCTACCGTCACATTGAATCATACCAAAAACGACTTCATATATATTAAAATTATTAACTAGGCAGAAAAAATACGTTGACTATACACTTATGTATACTAACCAGTTTGGAAGATTGAGAATGCTTCACAATTTAAATTCAATCAATGCATCTCGCCATTTTATACTTTTCTTTTAAATACAATCAAATATTCCGAACTTGAACATCGAATTCCAACTGGCAGTTTCAATTTCACTTCTTTTGACGCGAGTTACATTTAAAATAAATTCCCTGCGTTACCCGCACACATCTCGTCTATATGAGAAATCAACTGCAAGATGTGACATAACACTCCAATAAAAAAGCCCTGAAATATTATTGACTTTTACAAATCCTCTTCTTCTAAATACATTCCCATGACAGTCTCAATGGGTTTGCTGACGGTGATCAATAAGGCTTAACCTAGACCATACGCTTAAGATTTTGTGTGTGATTACGATATATGTATAGTGTGTGTGTGAGTGTGTTCATTAGAGAGAAAGAGAGAGAGAGAGAGAGAGCAAAATATAGATTGATAAATATATTTATGTAAATCGCAGCTTAGATATCTATCTATATGCTACTCAAAGTGAGCTTTTTAAAAATTTCTGCATATGTATATTTGCCTAATTCGTGAATATAAATAATTTTTTAAGTATAAACAAGAAACTAAAGCTAAGCCTTACAAAGAATTTTTCGGTCGGAGAATATGCAACCAAATACAAAATTAATTAAGTAACAACAAAAAATAGTACAAAAACACAATGAATAATTTAGTTTTCTTTTTACTAAAAAAATTCAGTCCATTAATATTATAATAATATGCTAGATAAATTGCCTGTTGAGATAGAAATACAATGGACAATAGGTTGATACTGTTGTCTTTTTCTTAACTTCAAATTAAACCGGAAATGAAAAATATAATTGAAACCCGTTTTTATACAGAATCGCCACTTTAAACCGGATTTGACTTTGATCTACAGGTAGTTACTGCATATTGTTACTAAAGATACTCGAAGTCATACCCTCAAACCTTGCACCTAAGCTGAAACTTGACAAAGTTCGTATAACGAAAAAGAAATTATAGAAAATATACTTTAACCAGATAATGTTTATTTCAGATATTTTTTCTCCGGAGGAGGGAGGGGGGATTTAGAGTTTTTATTTGGGCGGATTGAATTCTCCGGGGAAGGGGGCGACACACAATGGAACGAAAGAGGTGTGTGCGTAGATGTCCCAGAGGGGGGGGGGGGTTGGGGGGGGAGCTACGCCTATCCCCCGAAGAGATAAAAATGAACCTAAATCCTAACCATCACCACAACCTCAACCATGAACAAAAGCAAAAACCAACCATTCCCACAACCTTAGCCACACAAAAAAATCCTCTTTCTTTCAATTCAATTTAAATTTAATTTATAACACATTACTTATGCTTTGAGCTTAAATAACACTTACTCCAACAGGGAATTCCAATCTTCGCACAAACACACGAATTATTAAATTATATTACAAACGCACCAACCGACACAATTATCACACATTACACTCCTAATTTTGTGTATCAATAAACCAAATATACTTTCGACATTTCAAAATGTAATAACAATTACATAATAACACTTACATAATACCAATCTAAACTTAGTAACAAACCCATAAAGACTGATCTGAACTCTACCATAACTATTAGGATCAAATGTGATGTATCGTAAGAGCAACCCAAGGGAATTACTCTATCTCATCAAATATTTTTATATTCTATTGCCATTAACCTAAAATAGTTAAATATAACAATTAGTACGCGGTGCATCTTTGATGATATATTAAATAAAAAATAAAAGTGAAACCTGAATTTTAATTTTAGCTGCATTTTTATCTATATCCTCCACCCGTCATTATTAATCGGAATAATAAATAAAGACTTACAATGTGAATACTGATAGTCTATAAATAAGAAACTAAATTGCCCAGCGATCAGCGCTGCGCGCCTTATTAAACTAAAATTATGAAGAAATAAACCGGGAGTGATCTCCCCTAAACTTTCTCGAATATTCTTATATAAAACAACAGGGGATGGAAACTCGGGCTATAGACATGATTTTTAATCCATTTTAAATACTTAAAATTTTAAAAATATAATAAAATCTCGTAGACAAATGAATTGCACACCAAGTGAACGCCAAATAAAAAAGTGCATAATAGTGCGCAATATTATTAGTGCCTTTAAAAATTTA